ATAATTAATAATAAAATATAATAAAATTTTTTGATAATTTTGAATAAACCTTATAAAATAATTGGTAAAAAAATGTTAATTAAATAAAAATAATAAAAAATTGATAAAAAATAAGAAAAGAAAAATTTTACCCAATGATGAGATTTCAAAGGTACTCCGAATAATGATGCCTATGAAATCTTTAGGTGAGAAGATTTTTTTTAAATATTATCAGTGTATTGGAGTATTTATAAAATTTTTTTTTGTTAATAATAAATAAAAATTTATTAATTTATTAAAAATAATAGTAAAAAAATAAGAAAAATAAAATTTCATCCAATGATGGGACTCTAAAAGTATTTCCAAGTAGTGATACTTTACGAAATCCTTAGGTGAAAAGTTTTTTTTTAAAATATTACAGTGTATTGAAATATTTATAGAAAATCTTAAATATAATAAAATTCTTTTTTTCTTCAAAATTTCAATTAAAAATAAATAAAATTAATAAAACAATAAATAAAATTTTTAAAAAAAAAATAAAATTTGTGCATCAACATGATAACATTCTGCATTGCATGCACGACATAATTTTTTTTACAAAAAATAAATTTGAGCCTTCAAAGATGAGTCTTTAAAGTATTCCAAGAAGCGATGCCTAAGAAATCTTTAGGTAAGAGATAGTTCTTTTAATGTTACCAATGTACTGGCACATTTTAAGAGTTATTTCAATAAAAGGATTCTAATTTATTTTTCTCGAATAAAATTTGAATAATAAAAAAAATTTTCAATAAATAAAAAAATCAAGAAAATTATTTTTCAAACACCGAAAATGAGACTATTTTTTTATCAAAATCAAAGATAATACGTAGTTAATTGGTACTATTTTAAACGGGCATTGTAAGGGTGTTAATCTTTTCCTATACGTACCGACTCTCGAACCCAGATTATTACGTAGACCCTAAAATTATCCTCTTAATAAATTTTAATTAATTTTAAAATTTTATTAAAATTATATGTTTTAATAGGTAGTTAATCGTACCTAGTCAAAAAAAGATTGGTGACCACTCCGTTATTTTTTTTATTTCATTTTTAATTCGTCAAATTGACATAAAATCGTTACGACAGATAATCAATTGCTTTTTATCAAAAATTAATTTTAACTTTATTTTATTTAATTTCTTAAATTATTAATTGAATTGTCATACTTAATTAATTAATCTTTTACTATTTTAAAAATCTTTTGCTATTTCAAATCGTATATTAATATTTGATGGTTATCATGCGGTGCGAAAATTGGAGCATGGCAATATTAATAAAACATAGCGAAGAAAAGTCTTCGAGAAGTACTATGAAAAGAAAAGTAGAATTATTAGAAGACATTGATGACAAAAACATATTGGCCTTTTGCGTAAAATAAATTGACGTGTGGAGCATGACTTTTTGTTAGTCATTTTGGTTTAGAATTATATAGTCCTCAACTTTGACAAGTTCCTATAGAGATAACGATATGCTGATGACCACTGCATTCATTGCTTTAAACAAATGCGGTCTTAGCAACGTTTTGTCAGCTTTTTTAGGCCGCACAATACTGAAAGTCTGGATAATAGTACAACAAAATCTTATGAACTCTCACATGCATCAAACAAACATTCCATGAGAAATTGACTAATCTTTTTCACTACAATTTATTTTGATTTATTTGTAAAAATTATGTTTGGATGCCATTTTTACTTTGTTTCTTTCTTTTTTTATATTTTTCGTTATTTATCTTTATTTTCTACTTTTGCTGACATGAGACAAGTCAAGCGTACGCTGACCGTAGTCCAGAGAGTTCACTAGCTAGCCAAATGAACAATTAATTGCAACTTGCAAGAGGGAAAGAGACTATTGAAGTTGAAAGGTTTAATCCCCAGTTTACAACTTAAAACTTATCTACCTTTGAATCTTTTTCACCAAAAAAAAAAAAAAAAGGTTTTACACTTGGCAATGAAGGACATTTAAGCAAGCATGCATTAATTAAGAAATTTTGGACTTTATTCCACTGAATTTTCTTCCGAGGGCTAAAGAGAAATGACCGGCAAAGAGAGCATTGTATACTAAATAAATACGTGCTATCATAAATGCACTCACACCTTATTAATAATATTAAAGAAAATTATAAGATATTAATTTCCTTAAGTTAATTATATAAAAAAGATGTTGATATTACTATATATGTATATTCACATATATATATTTATTTATATATAAAAATTATTAAATATATTGATAATAAAATATTTTAATTTCACATACGAAGTTAATAAAATGATATATACCTTTTAGTGTCTATTTAAAAAAAAAAACTAATTTAAAAAATTGGAACATGTGTCCGTTTGTGAAATTAAAATCTCAAATGATAATATATTAAATAATTTTTCATTTATTTAATAGTATATATTTTGACAAAGCATAAATTAATAAAAAATTATTTGATACATTAAAAGTAGAGTTTTTTAACTCCACAAATAAAATTAAGATAGTGATATATGTTTCATTTTTTAAATTTTTTTTATTTTTTAAATATTCACTAAGAGACATGTCATCATTTTAACCGAAGTTAAAAAATTTTACGTATTTGATAATTTCTCTTAATTAATAGTATAAACTTGATGTTTAATCCAATTACTTATGCTCCATACAACTATTATTAAAAAAAATCTAACAGATCAAAAATTCAAATAAATCAAATTTCAACACTTATTCATTTTTATATTCTCAAACTATGATTTTTTTATATTAAAAAAATATAGAGGATTTTAAAGTATGTTTACATTTATAAATAAATTATTAAGAATAATCAAATTAGTCTATTCGAATAATTAAGTTAAATATATGGTACCGTTGACATATAAAAATAAAATAAAACTCCGGTCCAGGAAGATCATGACTTTTAATTTCTAAAAGAGCTTATTGATGTGTGACAATTCAATGGATTAACTATTTTTATCACCAAATTAGGAATTATTTTATACTATGAAATAGAAGTGTTTGTTAAGACATAGTTCTCAGAAAAAATCTTTTAAGTGCTATGTTGAATAAAAAAAAAAAGCCCCTTTCATTCGAGAGAAATACGTAATATTTTTATTTAATCAATGGTGTTACAACTTAAAGATAAAAAATTAAGACTGTAAATATTAAAATTTGATTTGATCCATGCCATCTCTTAACATATATTATTTTTATCTTTTTAATTTTTTTTCTTTTCTTTTATCTCCAATACACAATCATAATAAATATCCTCAATTCCATTAATCCCACGACCAAAATTTCCATCAGAAAACAATTTTAATTATACCCCTTTGAGATCACCTAGCCGCTTTTTCATTCAACTCCAACCAATAAAAGATGTAAGAGAGTTGTATGGTTTTATGGATAGACACCCCATAAGAGTATTAGGACTCTACGTCTTATGGGTGTGTATGTTTGTTTGTGAGTGGACTATATGAGATTGAGAGGGTCCATATAGGTATTGATGTATGGGAACACATAGGTATGTGTTTGGTTGTGTTGAAAGGTGCACAAGAGTTTGGGTTTGTGTTTGTTTGGGTAGAGAATACTTCATAGGACTAGAGGAGATGAGAGTGTCTTATGAGTATTGATTATTGAGTAAGGTTGATAATATGATGTATGTTTGTAATTCCTACAACTAGTGGATCTTGTTCTCATCCGTGGATGTAGGTCAGTTGGACTGAACCACGTTAAATTATTGTCTCTTGTGTGTTTGATTTATTGTTTGATTTTGCTTCCGCTGTGTGTGATTGGATTGGAGGTTTTTAGCCCAACAAATGGTATCAGAGCTGTGGTGATCCCCAACAAGTGGTATCAGAGCTGAAGGTTCGAAACGTGAAAAGAGTTGAAGATTCAAGATGTGGGAAGAGCCGATGGTTCGAGACATGGGAAGAGTTGACGGTTCGAGATATGAAAAGAGCTTGGTTTGAGATATGAGAAGAAGTAAGCTTAGAGGAGCTCGATTCAAGAGAAGAGTTTCGAGTTCAAGTTTTGAGGATTGGGCTTGTATGAAGCATGAAGACACAAGAGAAGAGAAGATGATTGTAAGACTTCCATTGCAGGTGGAGCCAAGCATGTCTAGCATGGAGACAGATGATTGATGAAATTTGAATCAAGGTGGAGATTGTTGGGAATATTGACTCAAATCTCATAAGAGATTTGTTTGAGATTTGTTAGAGATTTGTTTTAGGATTTTGTCAAATATTGCTTGATGGACAAGAAGACTTGTAAAAGAAGAATTCTAAGAGAAAGAAGATTCTTAATAGGTAAGTTTGACTTGCAAGAGAAGAATTCTAAAGGGAAATGGATTCTTAATAGGCAAGTTTGACTACAGGAAAAGAATTCTAAGAAGAGAGGATTCTTAATGAGCAAGTTTGTATGGTTATAAATAGATGAAGTCTTTACAGGGTTAGGTATGAGAAAAAGATGTAAGAGAGTTGTAGGGTTTTGTGGGATAGACACCCCATAAGAGTATTAGGACTCTACGTCTTATGGGTGTGTATGTTTGTTTGTGAGTGGACTATATGAGATTGAGAGGGTCTACATAGGTATGATGTATGGGAACACATAGGTATGTGTTTGGTTGTGTTGAAAAGGTGCACAAGAGTTTGGGTTTGTGTTTGTTTGGATAGAGAATACTTCATAGGACTAGAGGAGATTGAGAGTGTCTTATGAGTATTGATTATTGAGTAAGGTTGATGATATGATGTATGTTTGTAATTCTCTACAACTAGTGAATCTTATTTCTCATCCGTGGATGTAGGTCAGTTGGACCGAACCACGTTAAATTATTGTCTCTTGTGTGTTTGATTTATTGTTTGATTTTGCTTCAAGAAGGCCAAACAATTAGTGTAAGAAGCTTGCAGTATTTTTGTCTTTTAATATACTACTAATTGAGTATTGACTATACCAGCAAATTTTGTAGAGTCTACATATATATATATTTATATATTTATATATTTATATAACGCTTATAAAACTTTCATTTCATAAACCTCATCTGAAGTTTTATTACAACTTCACCCTAGCTAGCATAACATTCCATGAACTTACGAGCTTGTGAAGCTTATTTCACTCTGTCATATAGTATGACCAATACTAGTGTGTGTGTGTCTATATATATATATATATATATATATATATATATATACATATATATGTAAGTTCAAGGGCAAAAGACAACCCTGTAATTAGTCCCACCAGGGCAAGTAAATGTGCTGGTTTGATCATCTTTAGGGTAACTATAAGCATCAGGGCACCTTGTCTTGAAGAACCTGGAGAAATCCGTAGGACCACAGGTCCCAGAATTGCAACAGTATTCATTAGTCTTGAAAACGGTGCAAGGATTATTGCACCCTCCTGGGGCTTTCAACTCATTAGGGCACTGTCCTATGATATCTGCTGTGCATCTAATGCCCCTGGTGCACCCCCCAGAAGTTGGACTAAATTCCATAGGAACGTTAAATCCATCAACTAGGGAGATATCGAAGAAATCCAAGTTATTGAACTGGTTTAGTGCGAATTCAGCCAGGGTGTTTGGGGGTGCACCATAAGCTTGGCACTGCAGGAGCCCCCCACAGTCACCGGTTTGGCATCCACCAGGCCCGGCTCCATCAAAGTGGCAATTGGTTCGAGCCCAGATACGACCTCCTGTGGTACCGGCGTTCACATTTATGTCCCAGAATTCACCACTGTTCAGCTGTCTGCCACCACCGGTGGGCACGGCTGCTGCCCAGACCGTGTAGGGGCAGTTGTTTCGAATGTTAAAAGTGGCAGCATTGGCCACCGTGAAGCAGAGAGCTGCAATTAAACAGAAGGAAAACAGAGAGAGGCTTTTCAAGTTCATTTTTGCGAAAAAGGCAAAGAAGTAGTATTGGAATTTTGATAATTAGCTTGTATTGTATCGAATTTGTGAGGAGAAAGGTGGATTTATAAAGAGTAGGGGCTTCAGGTCGGTGCATGTGAACCAATAGATGTGAACGTTAATAAAATATCTGTGGAAAATTCGTGCCTTCGAAATTAACATATTTTGTTCCAACTTGTGACAAGTCAAGATTGCGTCGTTGTCAACTTGGAAATAAATTATCGTCCAGGAATAGCCAATATCTATGTATGCATGTACGTAGCATCTAGAAAAGTAGAAAATTTACACCCTTGACTAAAAAATATCACACAATATTTGACGAGGAAATATAAAAATCCTTATTGGAGGAAACCCCCAAAATTCAGTACTTGATTTTGTTTTGTGGGATATGATTTATCTATTACGAGCCTAGGTGGGTAAGCAAGAAAATGTTCACTTTATCCATCTATCTAAATACAATTTTTGAAAAGAATATAAAAAAAGTGAGGTGCCCACGTAACACCTCTTCCCTTCCTCTATTCTTTATTTTTTATTTTATTTTTCATTAGATAAATTTTATAAAAAAATTCAATGAAAGTAAAAATGATGTAACAATTCATATTCCATTGATTTTTATTTACATCGATTTAATATAAATATATTTTTTAATTCATATTAGATTGAATTATTTTTTAATAGAATTGAGTTGAAATCCAATTTAAAGTGTTTTGCCTCATTTTGAGTATCTACATAACACATCCTTTCTTTTATATTTTTTATATTTTTGTTTTTTAAAGCTTTTGCTTTTTTTTTTCCTTGTTTTCCTTTCTTGTTTTTTTCTAAATTTTTTTACTTTTACTTTTTATTAGATAAAATTTGTAATAAAAAAGTTAATTGAAATAGATATGACAAAATAACATGTATCAAATGAGTTTTGATTTGTCTCATTCCAATTGATGCACTTTTTTAAAAAAATTTAAGATAATTGGGTTGAGCTTTTGTATATTGAACTCGGGTTACAACAAGATTTTTTATGTTACACCTTTAGTTCAATATATATAAAAATATATATTTTATTATTTATTTAATTTTATATTTATATATATTATGAAAAATATTATTTAATGCTTTAAATTAATAAATTCAAGTGTAATCTTATTTGATTTTTTTAATTTTATTTATTAGATAAATTTTGTAAAAAAAACATGATGCAAGAGTGATAAAACAACCGATATCTGATGGGTTTCAATCTGATGCAATCCAATCAATGAAGTTTTTTTTAAATAAGGATTGTATTATGTCTTTCTTTTTTGAATAATTTTGCTCAGTTGGATTGGATTTGGAGTGCTCTATCTCGATCCTCTTCAAGATATATAATAAAAATATTTTTTATTATTTATTTAATATACTTAATTTTTTAAAGAATGAAGGAAATAGTGTCCACGTGGCACCTTTTTCTTTTTCCCCAATCTCTAATTTTTATTTTTTATTAAATCTATTTTTTGCTTTTTTTATTTTTATTTATTTATTTTATTTATTATTAAATAAATTTTATAAAAAAATTAATGGAGGTAAGAATAGTAAAGCAATTTGTATTTTATTAGTTTTAATTCGTAACAATTAAACATAAGGGCTTTTTTAAAAAAAATTAAAGTTCGGATCAAGGTTTTTTTTTAAATGGGATTGGGTTGAAGACGAATTTAAGATTTTTACGAAAGAGATTATAATCAAGAAAAAAAAATTTGTTTGGAATTACTTTTATTTATAATAATAATTTTTTTATATTGTCAACTTATATTTATGTTACAATAAAATTTTTTATGCTTATTCTCACCTTTTATTATATTTAGAATAATCATAAGTTTTTCTTAAGATATTATCGATTATGACACTTTTAATATATTTTACGTCAAATGATATTAATTTTACAGTTATTCTCACCTTTTTATGTTAACATTTGTTTTTTAATTGAATTATTATTTTTTATTTATAATACTAATTTTTTTACGTTACTAATTTATTATGTTTCAATAATATCTTTTTACATTTGTTGTTATTTTTCATTACGTTTAGAATTATTACAATTTTTTTAAGGTGTAACGATATTTCTAATTATTTTATATTAAATAATATCAATTTTACGATAATTCTCACTGTTTTACATTAACTAATAACTTTTTATTTAAAATTATTTTTTTATTTGTAATAATAGTTCTTTTATATTGCTAATTTAATTATTTATGTTATAATAATATCTTTTTACACTTGTTGTTACTTTTCATTATGTTTATTTATTTAATATACTTAATTTTTTAAAGAATGAACAAAGGAAAGAATGTCCACATGGCACCCCTTTCTTCCTCAATCTCTACTTTTTTAATTTTTTTTTTTTGTTTTTTTAACTTTTTATTTATTTTATTTATTATTAAATAAATTTCATTAAAAAAATTAATGGAGGTAGGGATAGTAAAGCAATTTGTATTTTATTAGTTTTGATTCATAACGATTAAAGATAAGAACTTTAAAAAAAAAAATCAAGGTCAGATCGAGGTTTTTTTTAATGGGATTGGGTTAGAGATGAATTTAAGGTATTTTGTCCAGTCTCGAGCGTCCATGTGATACCTCCATCTTTTTTTATTTTCTTTGATTTTTAAAGGTTTTTACCTTTTTTTGGGTTTCTTTTTTTTTAACTTTTAACTTTTACTTTTTATTAGATAAATTTTATAATAAAAAGTTAACTGAGAAAAAGATGACAAAATAATCCACATCTTATGGGTTTTGGTTCACCCCAATCCAAGTGGTGTACTTTTTTTTTAATTTAGGATAATTGGATTGAGTTTTTTCTAAATTGAGCTCGGGTCAGAGCAAGAATTTAAATGCTATGCCTCAATCTTACTATATATTAAAAAATATTTTTTATTATTTACTTAATTTCATATTTATATATTATTAAAAAATATTATTTAATACATTAATTTAATAAATTCACGTGCCATATCATTTAACTTTTTTTGTTATTTTCTTCTTTTTTAATTCCATTTATTAGATAAATTTTGTAAAGATAAAAGTCAATGGATATGTAAGGATGATAAAACAACCTATATTCAATGGGTTTCAATTCACAACGATCCAATTGATATGATTTTTTTAAATAAGAATTGAGTTAAATTTTGCTTCTTTAAACAATTTGGGTTAAGTCAGAATTGAGTTTAAGGTACTCTACCTCAACCATTTTCAAGATATATAAAAGAATATATTTTATTATTTACTTAATTTAACTTATATATATTATATTAATTACGATATTATTTAATACCTTAATTTAATAAAAAATTAAATTTATCTATAATTTATATTAAAAAATAAATACATTTATATTTATATATATTATTATCCATAAAAAATTGGTACAAAAAATTTTCTTCTCTTACATTTAAAATATAATTTAAAAAATAAAAAATTATCCTGCAATGAAGTGGGGGTCTAACTCTAATATATTTAGAAAGTTAGTAAATTTTCTTTTATTTTCTTGGGCCAAAATTAATAAAAGCTAGTGTCAAGTTCTACTATATTTTTTCAGTATCAAATTACTCAACAATAAATACCTCCAAAGATTAATGAATGAAGGGGATAGAATTTCTTTGGATGACTAACCCTTCTGAGAGAGTACCACGCATATGAATTTCAATTCTTTTACTATATATTTTTAAAATTATTTAATCACAAATTAAAAGGGATCCACCAAAAACTTTAAGAATTGACTTAAAAAATCACATCAGGAGATAGATTTTGTGGAATGCAAGTTATGAGTGGGGTACATGTAGGCTAGACCAGAGACTCGTGAAGTCAAAATATCTAACAATTTTTGTTAGCAGTTAAAAATAAATACAAAAACCCCAAAAGAAGAAGAAGAAAATTCTTAGAAAGAGGGATCATTGGCTTTAGACTATAGTTTTGTGAGAATATAAAAAATAAAAAATTTTCATAATTTCTCTCTACCTTGTTTTATTGCACCAAAGATAAAAACTTTTAGAGCCAGTTAGTTCTTTCATTCCATTTGGATCATAAGTAGAAGTGACAATAAGGAACCATAGTCTCTTTTTTGTCGCAAGTGATCAAATTAATTAAGGATGAATATCTTCAAAGATTAAGATAATTGAATGATAGATTACAATATAAAGCATTCTTTGACTCGTACATAAACAATAATATCAAACAAGTATGGATTATGGATACAAGAAAAAAAATATTATCCTGCCACACACAATCATGCCTAAATTAACCAACAAAATAAATTAATCTTGGAGTTCGCTGCTTTCTTATTGGTACATATATAGCAGTCCTCAGAAGCCAAAACATCTTGAAGGACAGAATACTACTTTGTAGTCAGTTCCAGCGGACAAGTAAATGTGCTTGTTTCATCATCTTTAGGGTAACAGTAAGCATCGGGGCACCTTTCCTTGAAAAAACTAGCGAAAGCTGTAGGATCACAGCTCCCTAAATTGCAACAATATTGATTAGTTGGACACAGTACAAGGATTTTTTGTATGTAATTTAATTTTATATTGATATTTCTACAATAATATTAAAGCCAAGCTAGTTTGACAAGATAATTTGCGCAGGTAAAAGTATGAGAAGATCATGTACCAGAAAAAGTTATGCTAATCGTCCTGTACTAATCTCACCATCAAGCTATTCTTTTTCTTCTTTTTCCTCTCTTTTTAGCAGAATGGGACGGTAAATATTTTTAATACTACTAATTAAAACTTGAAATCTACCCGAAGTACTGTTAGTATGCAACTTAATTTCTGTTTAGTTATGAAATATCAGTATACCAAAAGACAAGATAAATAATTGAAAGACATAAAATAAGGATCGATCGATCGCGTGTAAAGTTTTAAAACTTTAGAGCATGTGCTCAAAAGATAGGTTAGGTTAGGTCCCTTAGACGACCAAAGACCAAGAAAATATGCAAAAGTTTGGTATCATAATTTGGCATCTAATCATCAGATTCCTCGTATATAGCTTTCATATGGTATTAGTATATGTCATGAAAT